TTGGGGAGCCACTGCAGTGCTTCAATCATAATGTGGGCTCCAAGAATCTAGATCACAATCCCACAGTATCTTTGGCAGTGAGATAGTGGTTGCAGAGACCAAGATAATGAATAAATCTGATAATGTATAGAAGGCTGAAAGAACACACTTGGTGATGGGTTGGAACTGAACTAGAAAGTTTGTTTGTTGTGACTGTTTATTTCCACATAGACACAGTAAATTGGTGGGCATACTTACATATTCAGGGAAATAATAGAGACAGCTACAGGAAAGTGACTTAATTCCATATGGTTCTGGAATTGAGAACTGTAGGTGTGAATCATGTTTCAATTGTTTTCTACATATGTGACTTAAACTATTTATTTATATTAGTAATTTCATTGTTGGGCTTACTGTAGAAAGGATAAATAATCATGCTTAAACTTATTGAATTATTATATGGATTAAAATATTCGAATTGATGCCAAATTTGTAACCTCAAAAAAAGAAAGCAATAAATAAAGGAAAGGTATTGTTATTATTGAACTAATATTATTATTTCTGTTACACTCACTGTACACATGTGTCTACTTCCAGCACTCTAATCCCAATAAGATCATGGGGTTTGCTTCTTTTCATCGTCTTTACATTGCCTAGTACTTAGCATTCATTAACAGTTATTTATTTCAAATGAATAACATTTTTATTAATTCACTTCATAACTTAATTATATCCAGCCTTTTAAGTCAAGGACCAGTAACAATTAATAGTGATATAAGTACTTTTTAATATTTTTATTGGTGCATTATGATTATACATGACAGCAGAATTCTCTGTTACATATTTGTACGTGTACACAACATAACAATACAATTTGGTCAATTTTATACTTTCTTAGGTAATAGAATAGTTGTTGGTTTCTGAAATGTATGGCTGAAAACTTATTTGCTTATTTTTATATCCCTCATTGACTTTTTAAATTTTTTAATGTTATATATGACAGCAAAAAAAATGAGAAATTATACCTCATTGACTTTTTATGTGTCTATCTGAGTCACCTCAAATAATCTACATAGAGACTGAAATACTGTTTTAAACATTTTTCATATTGTCTAAAGTGACAGGAATTAATTCAGTGTATATAAGAAATTAAAAATATATGTTATGTAATTACAACACATTAATGCTGTTGTTGAATTTGGAGTGGACTTTCAACTTTCATGTGTTCAGCAGATGAAGCAGTGGCTCAGAAAGGCTACCTGTCTTGAATGAGTTGCAATGTGAAGCAAGGCAGAGTCAGGCCTAGAATGAAACCTTATCACCTATGTTTCTCATTTCATCATAACATATTGTTATTTCACATATATTTGTGAAATCAGAGAGTAAGCAATTTGTTTAGAGAATAGTAGTGATAGGAAAGAATTCTATAGGCATAAAAGCAATGAATGTTGCATTTACTCTAGAACAGCCAAGTGAGGATGACATTAGTCAATGTGTTTGTTACCAACTTCTGTTATAAATGATTACCACAAATGTGATGTCTTAAAAACACATACTTGTTGTCTCATAGTTCTGAAAAACATAAGTCTGTCTTATCTTGACTGGATCTCTGCTTAAGGCATTACTGGGCCAAACTCTCTGTATTGGACAGGGATGCATTTTCATCTTGTGCTTGAATTCCATTCTAGGATCACTAATATTGGCTGAATTCTCTTGGATTTAATTGTACAAATAATGTTCCCATTCTCTCAACAAATCGCCCCTTTCATCTTCAAGCCCATGATGACACTTAAAATTTTAATGCTATGAATTTCTATGCCTAATCTCTATAACTACCTTTACTGCCACATAGGGGTTGAAATATCTGTTTTAGAATGTGATGAGTTTGACTTCACCCATGTAAAATGCATAGCAGTCCAAAGTTATACGATTTACCTAATTTCTCTCTTTGGGACAAAGAGATATGCAATTTATTAATATCCTAGATTTTATCTTGTGTGTATCAACAGACAAAAAGGAATCATTTGATATTATGTGCTTTCAAATAAAAGGATTCTGTATATGCTAATTCCATCCATAAACCATAGTACTACTCTTTCCCAAGAGAACAACAATTTAAAAAGAAAAAAACCCTTTTATTAAAAACAAAAATTTAGATGTGCAGTTTTTCCTGAAATCAGTGGTTACATAGTATTTTCTGATCCTCTATGCATTAAGCAAAGTATTAAAGCATTGAAGAGATTGCTTTTATAATCATTTTTTAATTTAATCTCTTGTGGCTATTTTCTGTAGTTAGCTACATTTTTTCTAAAATTTATTTTATAGAGGAATGCACTTTGACACATTGTACACAAATGGATCAAAACTTCTCATTCCTCTGGCTGTAAATGGTACAGAGTCACTCCATTAGGATAATCATACATGTATATAGGGTTATAATGTCTGTCTCACTCTACCAGTTAGCTACACTTTATGTGTCTTAACAAATTGCACAATGCTCTGAAGGCATAACCAAAGGTGAGAGGGTATATGC